GACATATTCCTCCAGGTCCAGCATGGTGTGCAGGAGTGGGGCCGGAGGAGAGGCCGCACAGGTGGGTGGCCCCAGGGGGCCTGAGACAGAGTGCTCGGGGGCCAGCTGCTGGGGCAAGCAGGCAACCAAGCCTGATTTCTGGGCGTCCAGCTCTTCCTCGGCCCCCACACCCTCCTCTCCTCTGTGCTCTTTCCTGAGCCCTGCTCCTCTAAGCTCCACTTCTGTTCCTGCCCATGGGCACAAGGGCTACTCCTTAACCCTGAAGCGCCCTGAGCCTACCCAGAAATCCCTCCCATCCAGAGTCACTAGCTGTGTTCTCAGTCACTTTAGCCCCACCTCCACTCTACCCATCTTCCTCCTCTCAGGCCCCTCTCCTGACCCAGGGTGGCATCACACACCCAGCGACTCCTGTCACCTCTCCTCCTGTGGCCCCCTAACCATCCCACCAACAGACAGGCGCAGGTGCCCAGAAGCCAGCCCTGTGGCCACTGCCCCTCGGGCCCACACCCAGCACACACAGCCCCTCAAGCCTGGCTGACACTGGTTGGGCCTGGCTCCCTCTCACCGTGTGCACGAGGTCCAGGGAGAAGATTTGGATGCAGCAGACAATAGCAGAGACGGTACAGATTATGGCGGCACAAATGGTGAGTCCACAGACACTGAAGAGCAGGTTCTGAGCAGGGAGGGAAGGAGGAAGGGACGCTGCAGGGTCTGGGAAGTGTGTGTCCACATATTCCGGGGCGTCCCTGGAGCTCAGTGTAAGACCCTGGATTTGACCCCCAGTACTCCCAAAATAAAACCAAACCACATTTTCTGGGCCTGTGAGGATCCCAGGAAGGGAAGCAAGGATGAGACCCAGGAAGGCATGGAGGAAAGACTTCAGGGATCAGGGGGAGTGCCCACTTACCTTGAGGGCACCTCGGGCTTCCTCACAGGTAGAGTTGGGGGCAATTTTCAGCTCCCGCCCTGGCTCTGGACAGGGCCGGGGGAGGGGCACAGGGGGGCAGCACACACAGGCCTTCCCCTCCTGTGTGGGAGTGCGGAGGGAGGCGGCTGGTTCAGGACAAACTCCGCCAGGCGTGCTGTCCACCTCCCCAGCCAGCGCTCCCAGCTCACTCCTCACAATCTCACCATCGTGCACTGTCGGAAGTCCCGGGCCAGCTGAGCGTTCTTACAGGAGAGGACAGAGCCAGCCATGCTGAGCATGACACAGAGCACCGAGAGCAAGGAGAAGAAAGAGATCTGGGGAAAGAGGGTGGCCAACTCAGGGCCAGGATGGGCACTGGTGCCCTCTGCCATGGACAGAGTCCCCTCCTCTGCAGACATTCCTGTGCCTGCCTGGCACCACTGGAAAGCCACTTCCCTTCCTGGGGGCACAGTGGGCATCCCCTCTGCTGGGCACCTGCCTCCCGGGGCACTGAACCCTGGCACCTACCACTAGAGTGAATGGCCGCTTCCAGGACACAATGCCAACTACCCCGGAGAACGCCAGCTGGGGACAGAGTGGGGACAGGCTTAGCCTGGCAGGGAGGCACCTGAGTAGGCCCTGGCCACAGGGTGCACCCAGCCCTGCAGGTGGGACAGTACCAGAAGAGGGAGGCAAGCGAGGCAAGGAGACAGCTTCACACTGGTGAGGAGGTGGGGCCCCGGAGCCTGTCCCACCCGGCTGCTGAGCACCCTGTAAACCCCACTCACCGAGAACCCGGCCCAAGACGGGCAGGACCTTTTGATGCTCTCGGTGGTGGTGACGGAGGAGGCCACCATGCTGAAGGTTACCACCAGGATGCCCAGGAGCACTTGGGTCAGCCCCAGCGTGAGCAGGGCCTGCAGCCAGGGTCGGTGGAGGCGGAGATGGGTGAGGCCCCGGGTGCTGGGCCGGCTGGTCAGCGAGCGGATGGAGTCGCTAGGCGAGGGCA